CGTACTTGGTAGAAGGGACACAAAAGAAAGTGACAAGAGAGTTCATTTTCTCTATTAGTACTAAAGAGGATCCTAAGACGTTTAAAAAGGCCATAACTTCAAGGGATGCTCCAATGTAGAAAGAAGCCATAAATGATGAGATAGACTCCATCTTGGGTAATGGAACTTGGGTGCTGGCAAATTTGCCAACAGGGGTGAAACCCATTGGTTGCAAGTGGATATTCAAAAGAAAGATGCACCCTGATGGTTCAATATCATCCTTCAAGGCTAGATTGGTGGCAAAAGGATATAGACAGAAAGAGGGTGTCGATTATTTCGACACTTATGCTCCAGTTGATAGAATTAGTTCCATTCGAACTCTCATAGCAATTTCCGCCATAAAAGGACTGTATATTCACCAAATGGATGTAAAAACAACTTTCTTGAATGGCTATTTAAACAAGGAGGTTTACATGGAGCAACCTGAAGGATTTGTAATACCCGGACAAGAGAATAAAGTGTGTAAGCTTGTTAAATCTCTATACGGGTTAAAACAAGCTCCTAAACAGTGGCACGAAAGGTTTGATACGTCTATCACATCTTTCGGGTTCCGACATAATGGGGCTGACTGGTGCATCTACTCAAAATGCACGAGAGGGTACACTGTGGTAATCTGTCTTTATGTCGATGATATGTTGATCATCAGAACCAATCTAGATGGTATTCTTGATACAAAAGGGTACTTATCCTCGAACTTTAAGATGAAAGATCTTGGAGAAGTAGATACCATCCTTGGGATAAAGATCAAAAGGYCAGYATCTYAAATCTCTCTATGTCAATCTCATTACATAGAGAAGATACTGACAAAGTTTCAACATTTGAATTAAAAAGAGTTTAACACTCTGTTTGATTCAAGTGTGAAACTCGATAAAAATACTGGTAGAGCAGTGGCTCAACTAGAATATGTTAGTGCAATAGGATGCATGATGTATGCAATGCATTGCACTAGACCGAATATTGCTTTTGCTGTGAGTAGACAAAGTCAATATACCAGCAATCCGGGTTCAAATCATAGGAAAGCAATTGACGGAGTATTGGGCTACTTGAAAAGAACCCAAGAACTAGAGTTGACATACTCTACGCATCCAGGAATCTTGGAAGGATATTCCGACGCCAGTTGGATAGATCACTCAAGTGATTCTAAATCCACAAGTGGGTGGATTTATACTCTTGCTGGAGGGGCGATTTCTTGGGCGAGCAAGAAACAAACGTGTATCGCCCATTCGACCATGGAAGCCGAATTCATTGCTCTAGCGGCAGCGGGCAAAGAGGCCGAATAGATTAGAGATTTGTTGACAAATATCCATTTATGGCCTCGACCGACTCCTTCTATTCCTATGTATTGTGACAGTGAGGCCACACTGTCAAAAGTATACAATGCTGTATATAATGAGAAGTCGCGACACATAGGTCTCCGACACAACTACGTGAGACAACTTATTGATGATGRTACCATAAGTATTATGTTTGTCAAGTCTTGTGGGAACTTGGCAAATCCACTAACCAAGCCTCTGACGAGAGACTTGGTAGGGTCAACCACCAAAGACATAGGTCTGAAACCACACAGAATCAGTTAGTGATGGAAACCCAACTTGGATATAGTGCTCCTATCTACCAAGTTTAAAGGGTAACAACAAGTCATTTGACTGATAGAAGGTACTATCAAATGATAGATCCATGTATGGTGAAAGATAGTACGGCATTGTCGAGAACAAGGATGAGTTAAGCTCTTAACAAAGTTTAGAGGCATCTTAACAACGAAGATGTTATAGAACTTTGCCTATATGACTTAGAAGTGGTGCCGCCTCAAAAGAAGAGTAGTTGTTTCTCTTTTAGTAAGTCATGAAACAGGGTTTAGCGCATGGCCATATTAGCGCTCAGTGAGAGAGCAAGGTTGATAGTGATGTGTGTAAGTAAGCCGAAGTGGTCGCAAGATTCAAGGTTTAAATCCTAAGGATACCATTGGATTGATCCCTTCTTGCATACTTACATTAAACAGGGTTTAATCTTAGTGACACTACTGTAACATTATCTACAATGAATGTCATAAAACTTTCCAACCTGGTGGGGGATTGTTGGAAAATTTGTAGGTTGGAAGTTTAGCTTCCATCCTACATTGGTAGAAAATTATTTTATAGAGAAGCTTATAAGGCTTTCTCTAGAAATGGGCTTTGAACATGTTGGTGGACTCATGGTTGGGGTCTTGAGTGGAAGGCCCAACACACACACACGCACGTGGCCGTGGCCGAGCCGCGGGCGCAGGATTCGCGAAGGTGGCACAAGGAGGCGCACTTTGCACTTCGCACGCCTCATCGTAGCAGAAGGAGCCTCGCCCCGAGCTCCGAGTAATTTTTTGATAAAAATTCGTGAGGAGAAGGATAATTATCAGTTTTAATTTGAATAATTATCGGTTTTAATTTTGAAATTAACCAGATGGACTTAGTATTTGAGATAATGGTTAGTGGAGAATTTTTCTCCACCATTATCTCCGATTTTTGGAGAAAACCGTGGGTGCATTTAGGGTTTCATCTAGTATTTATACTGGGTTGAAGCCGTATCACAAAACATTGGAAAAAAAACTGATATTTCCTCTCCATCGATTTCTGCTCCCGAGTTCTACTTTCTCTCTACTGTTTTCTGCATAAATCCTGCTCTATATTCATTTTGATCATTGTTCATAAACGAATCGCCTACTGCATCAAATCCTGAGGCTTTGCAATTAACAGACTCACAGCGTGTTAAGAGTGGTTTTATAAAAGGATAGGTTTTACCGTGCAGTTTATCATCCAAATCGACAAAGATTTAAACAAATTGGTTTTATATTTCTTGTATTGTATTTAATTTCCTATTCACTAAGTGAACAATTCTGCTTCTACCCCTTTCTTTCATTGAATCTATCGCGAAGGATAGATTCAATCTGTGTGAATTGACACATTTGAGGTGTTGGTGGGTCTGAATATTAAAAGGTTTAAGTTTTATCCGTTATATAAATAAAGTTTATAAAGATTAAATCTCTATTTTGTTTTCATCTATCTTATTGGAATATATTTTTTCAACAGAAGCTGTATACAAAATCTATCAACAAACTGGCTAATCAGGTGAAGGACGTGAAGATTGTGATTTGAGGTTGAGTGACAACGGCAACTGCAATTCTAAATCGCTTCGTTTGCATGTAATGGTTTCAATTTGATGAAACAGCTTGAGCGTTGGAATAATTATCGCAACTTGAAAGAGGAACTGATAAGAGTGAATGTTGAACATACCAGGAAAGATATTGTAAGTGATTATTCGCGTAACTGAAACCATATCCATATGCTGTCTTGACATCCTATTTCTTTGCCTTAGATAAATAAACAAATATCTAAAACACATACCCTTGAGGTAATAGATACTTTGTTCATTCCTAGAGCATTTGTGGAGCTTTTTCATTGAGATTTTCCCGAAAAAGTCAGACTTGCATGTAAAAACCGAGCTTATAACTGCACAAACAAAAAGGTTTCACAAGCTTATTTGGCCAATAAGTTCCATTGTGAATGCTCTTAAGTAGAAGTAGAACTGAGCATTATTAATTCATAATTGATAATCCGTCTTGTTTTTTTTTTCCGCATCAGTCTAATAACCTTGAACGAACTCCATATGCATTTGGAAGCATATAATATTTATATACGACAAATACGCATGCAAGCTTCACATTGGTAAAGTTTGAACCCTAAGAGCATCTCCAACCCGCTGGTATTAATAGTCAAACTTGAGGGATCATTTTGTAATAAAAAGAGTTTAACCTGTGTGAGGAGTATGCACGTGTATTGGTTGTATATATGCTTGGAAAACATTTGTAGGATTTTTCTTGCATACACCTCACGTTCGTCTTTTGTTGGAGTGAAATTGTGTGAAAATTGGTGTAAGAAATGGGATTTTGTTACAAAAAAATCCAAAATCTTTGGGTGGTACCACAAGAAGTTCAAAATTGATGCATACGTTATTAGTGACGACACATTTGGTTTTGCAAGCAGGAATTCAGAAATGCAATGAGCCTGCTTAAGCATGATTATGAGAGCAGAATAAAGTACCTGGACGTTCAAATCAAGTGAGTGTTCACTTTTATAAACTGTTTTCTTAACCAATCTTATATATTTAACGTAAAGCAGAGATTCACTAGCTCAGAAATCTGCGAATGAATCAACTATTAGTCAACTCCACCAAGATTTAGTTGCACATAAGAACCATGTTGAAGCTTTAGCAAAAAGGTTGGACCGAGTTCATTCTGATGTGGAAATGACATGTGAGCTTCTACGTATTTCTTTGAACTTTTAAGACATCTACATCATTCTGTAGGGCTTATAAATGTGATGCTTTTTGTCCTAGATCAACTTGAGATGCAAGATTTAAAGCATCGTCTTATGATGGAACAAGAAGAAAAAAACGGATTGAACAGGAAATTTGCAGATTCTAGAAAAGGAACGTGAGTGTGTTACATATACAATAATAAAAGATTTACGAAAACAACTCTCCAAAAAGCTCAACGGAGGTGCTCGAATAGTGTATATACCGACACCGTTCATTGATCATGTAATCTGCTTTCTTTAGTCATGGTTTTTCTATAACAATACTGATTAGCAAAACAAGATTGTCTGAAAACAAACAGGATTTGAGTTCCGATCTACATGTTGGAACCCAATAAAAAATGAACCCATCTGATCCAATTACCCATCCACTTCACCATCCAATTAGTAAATATATATAATTAATAACATTTTACGATAGTATATTCAGTTCATATATAGCATGTCACTTTTTAATAGAAAAATATAGAAATAACTGGTTGAAATGATCAATTAATTGATCGAAAATCGGATCCATGTTAGATGGATTCGATTATATCCAATGAACAATAAATAGAAATATCAAAAAAATGTAACCAACATGATTGCAAAATATCATAACAAAATCCAACATCCAATGAATGATTGGATCATGTCATTGATTTTAATCAAAGATTAAAAGCACATATGTAGTCTACAAAGGCCATGCAACTATACTAACAATGTTATTTAATTCCAATTCACAAAGATAAGGTAATGGGAAAAGAAAAACAAAACATTTAACAGAACCATTCATGGCCTGAACATAAAGATCATGACACCTACTAAAACAGAGAGAATAAGAACCAACAGTGCAGCCATGATGCTAACATTACTCGACTTTTTAGATTGCTCTTTAGCAACTGATTCGTCACCTCGGCTGTTGTCTAAGGATGATGGTCGGAATTCTGAGGACAACGGCGCCATTGCTGTCTCCCAAAAGGAACCGGTGGAAAGTGTTATAGAACTTGTGGATTCTGCTTCTGGCTCCAAAATCATTGATGCATCGATTGGAGCCTCCATCGACATCAATTCAACACAATGGTCTCTAAGAACCTGACAAGCAGAATTCAACAAATAATCACTTGTCCGAACTAAAAATATATTTAGAAGCAATTCATGCATCTCCAACAGTTTCTTCATAAATTCTTTAAAAAGAAAATTAGATTCAACTCCAACAATTTCTCCATCTTGGAGATTTTAATATTAATTATATCATTAAAATGTTTAATACCCTACAAAATTACAAACAAACTTCTCATAAAATAGTAACTTCATCTTTATGTGCTGTCTCCTTCAAAATAAGTAGAAAGCAATTGGTGTATTTTGCCTCTCCCTCAAAATTTAATTTCGGAGATCTTTCAATATCCTCCAAATTTGAGGAATATTATCATTGCTCATCTTTTCTTCATTTTGCATAACATTTTAAAGATTCAGTTAGAGCAAGAAAAAATCCAAAATTCCCCAGTTTTGAGATTCTGTTGGAGATGCTCTAATCAACTTGAGTATTACTGTACATTTTTCATTTAAACCAACCATCATTCTTGCAAGAATGATCGATCATAGATCTATTTGAAAATGTATTTGGCAGAAAGATCATTGTATTTACCACTTCTTGTCCATAATCACTCTCTTTAAAAAATGTAATGTTGATCTTTTTGGATGTTTGCAAGAATGATAGTCTATTTGCAACAAAAAGCCAAGTACAAATAGTTAAATAAAGTCCCGCTCAAAATATATGGAAGAACCAATTCACACAAGTCGTAATCCTTCTCAAAATGGACACTAACTGACTTGCGTGGGTTAAATTTAACAAAACCAAAACTGAGAATATGGTTCTTTTATAGAGTGTTAAAAATACAGACCTCAAGTGTTTCAGAAGGTTGTATGTAGTCGCATATATATGTATCATCCAGCCAAGGAACAAAAACTCTTCGAGGGAAAGAAAGACTGCATTGTTTTCTGTTCACAAAATAATCAACCAACATTGTTAGAAATTCAATTCATATCATGTCAACAGAAACTGTACCAATAATTGCGAAATATTTACACATCCTACAAAGAGCTCAGCAGCTTATCCATGGTTGTGTTACGGCACTAAACTTGCAAGATGTCTATGTTTAGAGCTATGTCAATTTCATTAACATCATTCTTCCATCTTCAAGTCTCCAAATTTTTACACAATTTTAAATAGGTTTTGATGATTACAAACGCACTCAGACAATTGTTCTCAGAATAAAAATGGCGATACTAGAAACTGATGCAATATCCAGTATGTCCCACTCAAAAGTAGGGTATGTATAATTTATATGTTTATGTATAATTTATATGCATAGTATAATGTAAATGTATGAGTGCATTTGCAATTGCTTCTGCTCTTGCAATTGATGATGATGTCTTTTTTGATGATAAATGCCTCTAATATTAGCCGATAAAGATTGCGATTTTAACCAACCATCAGTATCACTTATCAGTTATCAGAAGTTGACAAGTATTAATACACAAATCTAAGTGAGAACAGTAATCAAAGAAAACTGGTTGAATACCTTTAGTTGCAATCAATTAGAAACACAAGCATAGCATAACTACCATCTGACCTCAATAACTGCAGTCGAAGTTGTGAAATAGGCATCTTAGTTGAAGCTTCCTTGACTAGATCCCCACCAACATCTGCAACCGAATCCAATTGTCCATCGGCCTCATCACAGATGATATCTAATCTATCGTGTAGGCTTGAAATAATGTCTCCCTAAGCACAAATACAACAATATGCATAGTTTCAATGGAAAGCCCAACTCCAACCATAACACCAATTTTAAAACATCAAAACGGTGATAAAATTAGCACTATTTTTAACGTTTTCATTCCAACCACACTAAAAATATCACAAAAAAAACAAAATACCACCAAAAAAGTATCACTATAAAACAAAATACCACAAAAAAAACGTTTCGTGAAGAGTATCCTACAATTTGGTGATTCACTGTTCATTAACACCGTTAACCACAAGGGTGGTGCCTGATTGGTTTGAGCTTGCCTCCAAAGGTCAAAAGTACCAGGAGGTCCCAAGTTCAAATCCAAGGAGAAACAAAAATCCCCTTGTGGCCATAGAGGTTCAAATGCGGTGACTCCGGGCTATCTGCAAAGCAGGTGGTCGCCCTGGGATTAGTCGGCTCGCATAGCGGGTTGGATATCCAGGTTAATCAAAAAAAAAATTGCGTTATACAATTTGGTGGGAGATGGCCTAAGAAAAACCAAATAAGTAGTAAGAAAATAGTATGTATATCTTATACCTTTAGATCAGCCAAAGCTTGTGAAATTGGTTCTTTAGAATTTGAGTATGCGAAGGAACAGAGAGTGCCGGTAAAGGCCAGGATACCAACGACCTCTTTCTCCTCCTCTTGACTGTACGCTTAGAAAGATAATGGTGAAATGTTAAGTGGAAAAAAATGGTGGGGAGAGGCAGAGTAGGATTAATTTGGTAAAGCTGAAATACCTTGAATAGATGTATGTTGCATGAAAGGTATAAGAAATTCAACTTCATGCACACTATCAGCTACAAATTGCTCATCCACATTCACCTAAACAAATTCAGGAGACAACTTTTCAGTTAAGCTTCAAAATTCTCGTGTCCTAATAAATCACACATGCCATGTTACATACACACACACACACACACAGAGGAGAACCTCAAAAATGTTAAGAACCGTGACAACCAATGAAACATGTGTTATTTCATCTTGTGAACAAACGATACATGTCTTTATTATGTCGTAGAAACCAATAATATTCTAAAATTAATCATCAAATTTCAGTCATGCTTTAAAATTGGGTTAACATCCTTAAGTTTTTAAAATATAAAGAAAGACTAACCTATAAAATTAAAATTAATAAATCAAAAAAGATGAAGAAAACAAATCACATGGAAAGAGAGTAAGAAAAATAAAAGTCTTAAGAGAGAGAAAAGGGAGGAGAGGTTACTATTTTTTGGGAAAAAGAAGAAAAGGTTATTAGTGAAGAGATAACTTTACCAAATCGAAAATGCATATATGGTTAGCTTATACAAAAAGAATTGCAAGTATAACGTTAGTCGGTGCAAATAGAGGAACATCCAATGTGTGTGTGCAAGCGCTTTTCTTCAACTTTAGTACAAAAACTAAAAGAACAAAAGATGCAACAACATTTAAGCAATAAAACTCATGATTGCATTTCGAAGGACGATGATTTTTAATGCTAAAAGATGCATACCAAATTTCCATCAATTAAAGCCTTCGCCCCCTTAAGTTCTTCAGCATGACTTGATATTACTTGACGAAGAATTTCTGCAAACTTTCCAGAACTTGAAACATTCTCGTGGAATATCGGGAACCTGGGAAAGCACATAGTAGATTGTTAGCGACGAGAAAGATCAAACATATGAAGAAGATAGAGGATTTACTAACAAAAGAAAGCAAGTAGCATATACTAAAACGAGATATAGACTACACTAGAAGATATATTGCCTCCATCGCAGAAGAAATGTCCACGTTTCTATTTAAATATGTCTCAAAATAAGTGTCATCTTTTATAAATAAATAGATATAATTTACTAAACTTTCAATTCTACCCTTAATTATGTTGCACAAATATTTAAGAATTGATGAGATGGAGAAATTCATTAATGGATTAATTATACATTTCTTTAACTCTGCTTTTTTATTAAGGGTAAAATTGTCGTTCAGTTGATTTAGAAGTATGATAATTATATTTTTAAGACTGCAATTTTTGTTGTGAACACTTACTTTGGGACGGAAGGATATAATGAGGTGGTATTTCAAATTAGTTGCACTTGCACCCTTCAAAATAAACTCAAGAACCGAAATGGAAAAAAAATTATAGGACCTCAACAGAAACTGGTTACAACCCTCATCAGACCGTTAACTGGGCCATAACCACAGAACAAATTTGATTTTGTGATTAGAAACAAAGAGTCTCCCGAATTAAACCTACATAATGCAGCATGCATTCTGAAACAGTAAACATGTTTCCCTATAGAGTAGTTACACGGCCTCATGGAGGCAATTTTATTTACATATAAACAAAAGAACATGCATAACCTATGTGTGTGTATCCTTGCATTCTAGGTCAGGAGGAAAAACATGAATTCCATATGCTATAAACCTCTTGATATCTAGCCTAATAGATCATAAAAATAATGATCTTAACCATTTTTTAGAAGAACTTGGACAAAAACTTCTATATTCGCTATTCACGGCATAAAACACACAAGCCAGAAATGCAGCGATCTTTTTAAGAATGCCTCGTGACTCTAGTTCTAACGATAGAAACCCAGCTTTCACATATAGATGAATAAAATGCAGTAGAAGAGAATAAAACCAAAAAGTTCATCAAGCCCCAAAATATGTGAATATAATGTGGCTTTCTTCTTCTTCTTTTTTTTGAATCAGTGGTTTGATAGACAAATCACTACTCCCTCCGTCCCAAAATATGTGCTAGACATTTCTATTTGAGTTTGTCTCAAAATAAATTATCGCTTTATACTTATAATTTATTAAATTTCCAATTCTACCCCTAATTGTGATGCACGGATATTTAAGAGTTGATGAGATGGAGAGAGAGAGAGAGAGAGAGAGTTTGCCTCTATCATTAAGAGTAAAATTGTCACTCAGTTAATTTAAAGTGTCATAACCAAACATTTCTTAAACTGTGTTTTTTATGGTGGACACTTATTTTGGGACTGAGGGAGAATTATTTAAGATCGTTCCATATCATATATACCAAAGCAGTAAAAAATTGGTCCCACTTATCCACATTAATTTATTCTGCACAAGCCTTGGCAAAGAAAATCATTCAATAAACAACAAAATACTAATTGATGTAAATTTACCTTATATCAAAATTGTAAATGCATCTAAACTTCTGAAGAGTAGATAAAGCTCTTCCCATTTTGAAATCACAGGGCCGTAGGCTACTTGAAGTTATATTTGAAGACAATGAACAATTTCGACATGTCCACCTAAGCAACATTATATGATGCCTTAGTAATAAAAGAACTTGGTTCATTGGAATGAAAGAGGTAAAGGGAACATATGTAGTTTACCTCCTTGGACTATAGCTTATGTGAATAAGCAGCCTCTCATCCCAATCAGACTCTCTAAATGGTGCTGCATCTGCAACTCCTTTTACAGTCTGCATAAACAAGTCTCATCAGTATGTATGCGTACATACAGACGCCTATGCATATAGCACCTAAAAGATCGAAGACCTTACATTTAAATAGAAATCTTAACTTAAATGATGCACAATTCTAACTCACTACACACCTCAAGGGGGCTTTTAACTCATACCCACCATCAATATGGGATAGGATGTTATATATATATATAGTGTGTGTGTGTGTGTGATGTTCAAAAAAGGACCCCAAAGAAATGGAGAACGGGAAACCCATCATAACCGTTGGATCTAAATAATAGATGGCCCAAATTTGAATGCAGCTATAACCGTGGAGTTAGTTACAGAAAGATGTACCCCCCCCTCCCAATCGATGGGTGATGGAGGGTTCCCGTTCTCCATTTCTTTTTAGGGTTCCCCCTTGAACCCACCCCTATACATATATACATACACACCTATATATATATAGAGAGAGAGAGAGACTAGTAAACCAAATTCATGTTTTCCTTTTACTTTTTAAAACATAGAGACTCAATATTGGAAAAAGAAAATTAAAGATTCCCCTATTATCACCCAATGCCATCCCTAGAAACCACCACTGAAATTTCACACATGTTTTAAAGATGATTGCAGCTTTTGGGATTGCAACAACACAGATAGCTAATCCAAATATTTGAATCGAGTAATGTGATTTTGATTATTAGTTTTCCTATTTCGCATGAATAAGATGCGGCAACCGAGCAGAAGACACCCTGTATGAATTCTCACATCCAACACTAAGGTAACCTTCAGAAAAAGTGAAGCATTTTCAACCCCCAAGAGAGAGAGAGAGAAAGAAACTAACAAATGTGGCTTGCAGCAAAAGTAGAAGTAGACAGAGTTTAATTTTTAATAAAATGAAGAAGTGAAATAATATGTAAACCTGGCAAAGGACTAAAGTGGAATTCTTGAACAAGCTTTCATTCATCCATATGTAAATGCCAACTACCTTCATGCCACCAACTAGCATTCTTGAAACCTGTTCATTCCAAAGGGAAACACAAGCATAACAAGTCAAGTAGTGAAATTAAAGTATCCTTTTCCCCTGTAATTAAAACGCTTAAGATGACAAGTCCAAAAAGGCATAAACCACACACGCAGATTCAAAATACTCAATTCTATAACAGAAATGGGAATATGTATCATACAACATTCAAACATACATCCCATTCAGGAAATCCAAATAATATATTGTAAATAAACCCGATAATCCAACTAGAAGAATTGAGGTAAATTATAGGACTAATATTTTCCTCTAGAACATTCAAATTGCTCAATTTTATTTTACCATTTCTGCCCAGGGGGGGACAGCCCAATGGGCCTTTAGGGGCCTTGGCCCCTGTGCTTTTTTTTTCTAGATAGGCTGAATGCATGGGACATAAGCTTGTGTATTACTACAAAAATTCAACCGGCCCCTCCCCTCTTGATCCAGCGACGACGAGAGTACTAGCCTACGAGAAGTCGAGAACGCAGACGACAGCGGAAGCGGACATCGACGAAAGTCACGAGATGACGAAGACGACAGGCAGGCCGCAGGCGACAGCACCACGGCAGCGACGACAGGCAGGCGGCAGTAGGGGAGGAATACAAACTTTCCAACCATAGGGGCCGGACCTAATATATTTTAAAGGTACCAAAAATACATTGTCCAAAGTTATAATGTATAACTCTAAAACTAGACGTTAAATATAAACATGTCAAACATCGCTAATCAAAGTGGAACTCGTCGATCTTTCGCGACCTTGAAGTCTTCCACAATTTCCTCCAAACTAATCTTTTCAGCTACTTCCCTTTCGATAAACAAAAGTAACGAGTCATTTAGAARCTCATCATCCATTTTATTCCGTATTCTTGTTTTCACAATATTCATTGCTGAAAATGATCTCTCGGTGGTAGAAACTAGAAGAGTAAGTAATAGACTTATCAATCGATAAATAAGATCAAAAGTGGTTTCTCTTCTAGTCCTTACCAACCATTGACCCAATTCTGCAATAGATGTCAATTGCTTATAATCTATATGTTGAACGACATCAATAGCATAATGTTGAAGTTGCATTTTCAGAATTGTTTTCTCATGATCACTGAAATCTTCAGGATAAAACTTCTCTACAAGTTGTCGTACATCAAGACTTCTAAAAGTCTCATACGCATTTTTAGGATCTAGAGTTGAAGCAAGACGAAGCATCTCCATGGAACCATCACTGAAACGATGATCTAATTCCATTAATTGACAATTAATTGCTTCATAAAAGATATCCACTCGGTAATGATGCTCAAGTGTATGATCACTATGCCCATTATGAGCTCGATTCCCTCTGCTAAAGTAGGAAGAAGACAAGTCAGGAATATCTATGTTACGTACCTGACAAGAAAACAAGTCGAGAAGAAGACAAGTTAGGAAGATTTACTTGATAATGATGTTCGAGTGTATGATCATTATGTTATGTACCTGACCAAATGACTTAACAAGGCAAAGCAAAGCATCCCAGCTTTCATCTTTCATTAGTTGCAATAACAATTTGGTATATGCAACTAACCTCAATGAGTTAAAAATATCTTGATCTTTCCTTTGTAAAGCTTGACAAAGTAAATCAATGATTTCCATTATTTCTCTTACAAGATGCAAGACAAATATGAACTCAAATGTCGTCATAGCCTCATATGCCGAATCTGCATCTCCTTTGATTGGCCCAGTTCCTTCCTCAAAAATTTTGAGCAAAACCTCACAAGTKGGACTGAACATCTTGATTAGGCTAGAAACTGATTTGAGATGAGAACTCCATCTAGTATCTCCGGCTCGTTGTAATGTACCAATTTGATTGAGACCTCTACCGGTCTCCAATTCATCAACAGAAATCAAGTATGCAATTTGCTCGACTTGTGCATCTCGTAGTTGGTCGATGCATTTAGAGGAAGCACTAATAACATTGACAACAAAAGACAACGTTGTAAAAAACATACGCAGTGCTACAACTCCTTGAGAGGCGGCCATTAATGCCAATTGCAACCGATGAGCAAGACAGTGAACATAATATGCGTATTTACAATCTTCCATAATCAAGGCTTGCGAACCTTTGAACTGACCTCGCATATTGTTTGCACCATCATACCCTTGTCCATGAATAGACTTGACATCAAGGTTGTAATGTGACAACAAAGAATAGATTCCGTCCTTGAGCGTTTGTGTTGTAGTGTCACGTACATGAACAAGTCCACAAAAACGCTCTATAATGAAGCTCTCTTTATTAACAAATCTCAAAACAAGAGACATTTGTTGTTTATGAGACTCATCCCGTGCTTCGTCAACAAGTAAACAAAACCTTTGACCACCAATCTCCTCACAAATCATTTATCTCACCTTATTTGATATAAGATTCAAAATTTCCTTTTGAATCGACGGTGATGTATATGATGCATATTTGGGAGCACGACAAAATAACTCTTTAAGCTCGGTGCTGAACTCACTAAGTGCCTCCAACATTTCAAGAAAATTCCCTCTGTTAATGGAATCTGACTTTTTGTTGTGGCCTCTAAATGCAACTGCTTAAAAGGCACACCAACGGACGCAATAAATAGAAGTTGTCAATCTTAATCTGTTTTTCTCACGCTCTTCAGTTGTGAACTTCTCAAATACATTTCGTATATCTTGCGCCTCATTAAATAAATGATCYCATCCCTTTTGTGCAACATTGTGGAAAGATGTACAATCGGTTCCCATATGCATCATGAAGCCACATTTTTTCCCACCCACCTTTTTCCAATTTCGAAACCCATCTATGGTAAATGCTTGTTGACCGTAGTATCCGAGCCCAGATAGCTTGTTAAATAAAAAACAAAGGAAACAAGATGCTGCATCCAAGGTCTTTGAATATTCAATCCAGGGATGTAACTTATACCAAGAAGCTTGAAAGCTATGTTTATAAGTTTCTGGTCCAGATTTTGGAATCATAGAAAGTCCTTGTTTTCTTTCGGCCTTTAACCTTTAGGTGTTGTTTATTTGGTTGTTTCTGCAGTTGGAGTTTCCTTTTTCAGTGTTTATCTTGTTTCCTAGTTCTCTGTTCTGAATTTCCTACTTTCTGTAGTTCTGTAACCTAACCTGCTCATCTGCATCTGCATCTGCTGCTGCACTTTTTGTTTTGAAATCAAAACCCAAAGAAAAAACAATATGGTTGTTGGCCTGTTGGTTGTTGTTGTCTTTGAAATCAAAACCTAATTTGTTCTTGAAAAATATTTAAAATTCCATATTTGATTGCAAGAAAGGGGGCCGGGGGTTGCAGTGGAGACAATAATGATGGAAGACAGTAAGAGGACCTTAGACTGTAATTGGATCAGGCAATGTACACAGTACACTGTTTCTTGCCTCTATAGCACCTTGTTTTTCTTTGATCATAAAGATTGTAGGATATGATGAAAGAGATTGCATATATGGCCTTCCTTCTTTTCTACTTTTGTCAGCTTAGAGAGTGATTTAGGTCTAAATTTTTCTACTTCTATGGCCTTCCTAATCTTGCTGATGGTGGTGATTTAGCCATTTAGGTGATTTATTAGGTCCAAATTTATGTGGAAATTAAGGTCTAAACTCTAAAGTTAGGTGATTTAGGTCTAAATTTATGAATTGAAATCATACCATCTAAAACTAAAACTGCTATGTCCCTTATTTACATTTGTTTTAAAATTAAAACTGCTAAATATGTTCCACATCACATGTAGATGAAGATGAAAACTCAATCTACCATTCATGGGTTTTTTAAAAGAAAGCATGCTAGTTCTTCTTCTCAAGATCCCGAAGAAACAACAAATGTAGATAATACCCCTGCATCTAGTATTCCGCCTATTGAAAACCCTTGCAAAAAAGCTCAAATTGAAAGTAATGATATTGATCTGGGTACACTAGAACGAGACCCTGTTTTGCGTCATCAAGTTTATGATTATCCTATCAATCAACAAGATACAACTCGACGAGCTTACATGAATCTTGGTCCTCTTCAACCTACACTTTCTATGTTTCCAAAATCTGGACCAGAAACTCATAAACGTAACTTTCAAGTTTCTTGGTATAAGTTACATCCCTGGATTGAATATTCAAAGACCTTGGATGCAGCATTTTGTTTCCTTTGTTTTTTATTTAACAAGCTATCTGGGCTCGGATACTACGGTCAACAAGCATTTACCATAGATGGGTTTCGAAATTGGAAAAAGGTGGGTGGGAAAAATGTGGCTTCTTGATGCATATGGGAACCGATTGTACATCTTTCCACAATGTTGCACAAAAGGGATGGGATCATTTATTTAATGAGGCGCAAGATATACGAAATGTATTTGAGAAGTTCACAACTGAAGAGCGTGAGAAAAACAGATTGAGATTGACGGCTTCTATTTATTGCGTCCGTTGGTGTGCCTTTCAAGCAGTTGCATTTAGAGGCCACAACAAAAAGTCAGATTCCATTAACAGAGGGAATTTTCTTGAAATGTTGGAGGTACTTAGTGAGTTCAGCACCGAGCTTAAAGAGTTATTTTGTCGTGCTCCCAAATATGCATCATATACATCACCGTCGATTCAAAAGGAAATTTTGAATCTTATATCAAATAAGGTGAGACAAATGATTTGTGAGGAGATTGGTGGTCGAAGGTTTTGTTTACTTGTTGACGAAGTACGGGATGAGTCTCATAAAGAGCAAATGTCTCTTGTTTTGAGATTTGTTAATAAAGAGGGCTTCATTATAGAGCGTTTTTCTGTACTTGTTCATGTACGTGACACTACAGCACAAACGCTCAAGAACGAAATCTATTCTTCGTTGTCACATTACAACCTTGATGTCAAGTCTATTCGTGGACAAGGGTATGATGGTGCAAGCAATATGCGAGGTCAGTTCAAAGGTTTGCAAGCCTTGATTTTGGAAGATTGTAAATACGCATATTATGTTCACTGTCTTGCTCATCGGTTGCAATTGGCATTAATAGCCGCCTCTCAAGGAGTTGTAGCATAGGGAATTGAGCTCGTAATGAGCATAGTGATCATACATTTGAGCATCATTACCGAGTGGATATCTTTTATGAAGCAATTAATTGTCAATTAATGGAATTAGATCATCGTTTTAGTGATGGTTCCATGGAGATGCTTCGTCTTGCTTCAACTCTAGATCCTAAAAATGCGTATGAGACTTTTAGAATGTACGACAACTAGTAGAGAAGTTTTATCCTGAAGATTTCAGTGATCATGAGAAAACAATTCTGAAAATGCAACTTCAACATAATGCTATAAATGTCGTTCAACATATAGATTATAATCAATTGACATCTATTGCAGAATTGGGTCAATGGTTGGTAAGGACTAGAAGAGAAACCACTTTTGATCTTATTTATCGATTGATAAGTCTATTACTTACTCTTCCAGTTTCTACCACGACAACCGAGAGACCGTTTTCAGCAATGAATATTGTGAAAACAAGAATACGGAATAAAATGGATGATGAGTTTCTAAATGACTCGTTACTTTTGTTTATCGAAAGAGATGTAGCTGAAAAGATTAGTTTGGAGGAAATTGTGGAAGACTTCAAGGTCGCGAAAGATCGACGGGTTCCACTTTGATTAGAGATGTTTGACATGTTTATATTTATCGTCTAGTTTTAGAGTTTTACTACGTTATAACTTTAAACAGTGTATTTTTGGTACCTTTAAAATATATAATATATTAGGTCTAGCCCCTACGGTTGGAAAGTTTGTGTTCCACCCTGTTTCTGCCTTGTTATTATTTCCATATTCTCGACTGTCATATTCTTTAACAGGTCCCAAAACTAGCCTATAATACATAACAAATACGCTTTAAGCCTTTAACTAACATGGGATCTTGGAGAGCCAAAATGATCAAATTTTTCTTGGTCGAGCAAAAAATAATTTTTTTAGATATGGGGTGCATTCGTTGAAGGGATAAAGGTAAGTGGTAAATTTTTAGTACTCCGTCGATTCATATGCATACATTAGAAACAAGATCAATGAGCACATAGAATTTTATTAGGCTCCATTATTTTAGCCTATTTTCTCTGTTTCTAATCTGTTTGGGGTTCTATCTGCATACACCCAGACCAAATGAATGAATCTTAAAACTTCAATGAGAACACACTTATTATTTTGAAGAGTAATGCTATATAGCTTACAGGGTACATGCTTACAGGGTAAGGCGTAAAGGGCATACGGCTTACAGGGTACGCGGCTACGCGCACATTTTCAGCCCTCAAAATAATTTGTTGGTAATCGTCTTTTGGTCCGTAGCCGCCAAGTGGGTAAGAGTCTTCTTCCTCAATTACTGGGCAAGATTACTAGGTAAGGTAAGGTAATTCTTGAGTGAACACAAAACCGACAGTTGTAAGCCAATAAGTTCATCTATCCACCCAAAATAAGATATTGATCCATGCTATTACTTAACGCAGTAGTAGGTTGAAGATATGGAAGGAAACCTGACGAGCATGCTCAGCGACCCAATCCTTATCAATGGACAAAAACGACGATGGCGATTTGGATTTTGGTTTTGACTTTGATCCTCCTTTCTTCTTATCATCATCATCATCTTTGCTCTCCGTGATCCAAGAAGCTGCATCTCCGGCATCATTCGCCGGCGTCGGAACTAAATCAAACACAAAACCTCTATCCAAACTCGTACTTATCTTCCCAATCACTAACCCTACCTGTCAAAATCCCCACAGCGTCAACACTGTACACATACATACACATAGCCTGAGAAGAAGAGAGAGGGAGTCACCTGGCAGGAAAGACGGGAATCGCTGAGGCTGTCTTCGATGGATTTTAGCCGGATTTCTTCGCCGACCACCGCTTTCACCATCGTCGCAGTGGGACTGATCAAACACCAGATAGTGCAAATGCTGACCAAACCGGTTCTGCTCGGTTTCGTTTTTGAAATGCAATTAATTGGGCTCAATATCATGCTTTATATTGGGCTTCCAGAGATGGCGAAAATGGGTCCGACCCGGAGATATCAACTTAGCACCGGACCGGAAGTAGAGACCGCCAAATATCGGGTCCCGTTCTAAATCGGTCCCGATTCTAAACGCCTATTTGTGATCGGTCCAGGTCTAGGTCTCGGCCGTGACCAAAGACTCAAAGTCTAGTCAAGGTTAGGGGTGCTCACCAACCCGGCCAAGTCAATCTGATGTAACTTGTCGCATAGTTGATACAAAATTAGACCAAACAGTATCTGTTGGCTTGAATTGGGTTGCGGAATTTGAACCCAACTCACTTTGATGAACCCGATGTCTTTTCTATACTATGGATTTAATATGGTTGTCAAGTCCTGATTAATATATGTACATTAGACGTTAGACCAATCCATAATTAGCTATATTCAAAATTATATTACAATTCCAATTGTAATTTTGTTTTCTTATTTGCATGAAATTTCAACCTCTTTTTGAGTTTATTAGCCTTTTTTATGTGTTCTCATTTTGATTTTATTTCATTTAAATAAAACGTTTAGCTAGATTATAAAATGATGTACCAACGATTCAACCTGACCAACCCAACCGAAACCAGATGGTATGGATTGGGTTGGGTTGTAGTTTTGATTGGGTTGAGTTAAGATTTTTCAAACTACAGATATTGACTTGGATTGTTCAAATGCATTAAATCCGGCCAACCCAATCCATGTGCAGCCCTAGTTAATATTATTCATAACCGCTTAGGAGAACCGGTCCTGTTCAGAATTAAACCAGTCCCAATTTTCGCAAAACTTAATTTTGGACGTAAAACAATAGTTTTTAAAGATTTTTCCTTTTTTTAATAATATCTTATTAAAATACACTTTAAAAAAAATCTTAATTGTTTACACAAAAATATTATAAAATATTTCTATCACTACGGTTTTTGAGATTTAAAAATGAAACACCTACAAAAAATTGAAAAAGGTCAAAAGAGAACTTGAAAAAGTTAAAAAGAAAAAAAAAACTTAAAAATCTTATAATATTGAAAAACTTGATATTTATAATATATAAAAACTTATTATTTTAAAAAAAAATGAAACTTATGCATAACTGATCTCGAGTTGGGCCTTGTTTTTAAATAAAAATTGTAACCGGTTAAGAACTGACGGGACATATGGATCCCTACCAAGTCGTGCTAGTCCCGATCCCAGGTTGGTCCTGGTCTTGGTTCTCCTTCGATCCCAAATTGGTCTGAGCACATTTGGCTATATCTCTAACCGAGACCAGTAAGGACCAGGGTTAGAGAGCGATTAGTTATTTAAAAAAATTAATTCCCAGACCCAGATGGGTTGCGGGACCGAGATTAGTTATGCAAAAGCCCGATCTTTTTTAAAAAATATTTATAAACATATGTATAACATTCTTAAGTACAAAATAGTTAAAAGTGTATTTGAATGACATAGTTAGATATTTTAAAATGTATTTCAATAGATATTATTCCAAAAAAATCTTAAAACATTATTTTTTATGTCCAAATTTGATTTTTGGAAAATAATATATTTAGAACCTACTTAGGCCCGATTCAGGACCCGTTCTTGAGACCAGGTTTTGTACATGAAGAACAGATAAGGTATTTTTAGTCGGGAACCTGGACTGGTTACAAAAGGAAAATCTCAGACCAGGACCAATTTGGATCCAATCCGATGCAAAACCGGTTTTTGACCATCTCTAATCAGACCTAAGCAGTATGATAAGGTTGGGCAGATTGATAAAAAAATGGGCCACAAACGATCCAAGATTGATTTTAAACAAGCCTGGGTTTTAAAAAAATTCTAAATCAATTTTACACAAAAATGGCATACTATATATATATATATATATATATATATATATATATACTTTTGATAACCCATGGAATTACGATAAACTTAAGAACTAGTGCATCATGTGCTATTTTTATATTTTTTTTCATATAAGACTGTGATTTATAATATTGATTAACATATGTTTGTTTCACAATATGTTTATTCACATGTTTATGTTTCACAATGTGAACCCTTTTAGCATGTTTTTGAAACAAACGTTAGACATAAAAAAGCTTGACATTGTGAACCGCATACACTTGAAGTGAACACACTGTGAAACAAATATATGTCCATCAATACATTAAATGCTATCCTTATATTAGAAAAAAAATCATGTTGAACAATTCTTTAAAATGAAAGTTCTCATGGTTATTACAATATATGGAGTTCTCAAATGATTAAACCCTATATATAAAGCTTAATCATTTGAGAACTAAAAAATATATGAGATCTATGAGATCTATCTTAAGCCACTAATTTAAGATAATTATATTTATTAATAAATAAGATGATTAAGAAGATAATCATTGTGATTTATTAAAGAAATATTAATGCATTTTTTAAGGAAATATCATATGTATTTGTTTCTCTATTTTCTCTTATATCTCTTATCTTCGTATTAACAACACATTGTGCATACGAGGTGAACACAATGTAAGTAACAGAAGTTGACAACAATCTTAGAATCGTATGTTAATTTGAGTTCTCTAACTATGCTCGAGAACGATGTTGCAATGTACTCTGCAAATGTTTGACTAATGTTAGTAGTTTGTTTAACGTGAAATCATAGTTTTAACTGAAATCTCATCCAAGGTAACAAACTCACGATTTTAATTTCTATAACAAAGTTAATTGAAATCTCATTTGAAGTTATGAAAAAAAACATTCTATAATATTAATGAAAATTTGAGCGATGTTTAAACTATAGTAACAGTAGTGGAAACTCAAGACAATGCATGAATAACCACATCATCAAACTAAGATAATAGATGTTCCCCCATAATATAATAAAATTAATATCAAGTGGGGTTGATGACCCACATATCAAATATTAATTTGTTTTATATTTCTTATTTTACACCCTTATCTATTTATATTATCTATATTATATTATAAAACATGTTAAACGGTTATTATTGAATTTTTAAGAGGTACAAATTTTGATCTATTATGTACAATTTTTGAACCTTTACATCCATTATATACAATTTTTGAACCTTTACAATCTCCACTTCAACATGATAATTAAAAATAAAATTATTTTTTTATTATTAAATTACATTGTATACCTTTATAATTAGTTATTAAATTTATTTTATATTTCTTCTTTTCCTATTTTTCATTTTAGATCTTCTCATATTAACATATATAACTATATTTTAGCAAAAATATATTTAAAAACGTTTATTTTTTTTATTAATTATGTCATTATAACCGTCTCTTCAGTATCTTCAAAATGAACCCAATATCGAATATTATTGAATTTAATAATATTATTAAATATGATAAATACATACTGATGTTTTTTAGTATCTTAATTTCTTATTTTTTATTTTCCATTTTACACCCTTATTTATCTATAATATATTATTTATTATTGTTGTTGAATTTTAATTGTCATCTATGCATTATTTACATGTTTCCTAAGCCCCCACCCCATCATTCCCTTTCTTTCCGACTTCCCCCACAATTCTCTCCCCACTACCTTGAATTATTTGTCCACGTTTCGATGTCCATGAAGCAATCGGCTAAAAGGAAAACTATATAACTCTCAATTTTGGGATGAAATCGGCCATCTAGATACAAATTTTGAAACCAAAAGAAGGAATAATGACATCCATCCCCCTCCAACCATTCTCTTTCGCCATGGAAATCACTCCATCCACCATCGTTACTAAACCATAATTATGCTCCAAAACGGCGGTCTTGAAAGCCCATTCCCACGCCCGGATCCACCAAACACATCCCCACGACACGCCTCTATTCCAATCCACCGTCTCACGCAACCTCTGCCATTTCAATATTTCGATTTTCGTCCTCCATCTCGCCGCTTTTTCTTTTACTTTCACTGCTGTCATTTTATGCTCACCACCAGTACTTCCTCCATAACTAATTCTCCTTGCTGGTACGACTTCGACGTCTTCCAGTAAACTACTCCATTTTGCTTTCAACTGATTAATTTAAGAAATTCATCAGAAAGCATAACAAAATTACACCTCTATAGCTTCGTTGTTGCCGCTCATGCAATCATCGTTTTGTATTCATTCTTTGAAATAGGAGCTTCTATTTGGAAAATTTCTAGAGGTTCCCCCATTTTTCCAAAGCTTTCTCAACTCTGGTTCGATTTCGGTCATGATCAGGTTCTCATTTTTCGCTTCTAGCATCTTCTTCTCAAGAATTTTCCAATATAGAATCAATGTTTGCATCTGTAAAACTCCAAATAGCTGAATCCAACGGCGTTTTCTATAGGTGTTTGCCAACTTGTTGCTATTTGCGGGATCGGCGGGGACATAGTTTGCCAAACAATTTAGAGGGATCCTCACGTGTACGTCCAATAACTCATTAAAAGACTTGCAGGTTCACAACAAAATAAACGAGTTTGTTCTAATCAATGTCGATGAAGTTGGAAGAGTAAGTCAAAAAATTCTTTCTTAAATTTCCCAAAATCTCAATTGGGTTATCTCTGTTTGCCGTAATTCTCCTCGGTTTTTCATTTTCTTTTATCTAGATTTATGCCTTTGGATAACTTAATTTCAGTTCTTGGTATCAAAATTTTGGTTTCAAGATGGAAATTTCAATCTTTCTTATATTAGTTTATGTCGGTGGCTTACACTATAATATAATATTTTATCTCTTTTAACAACTAGAATTTGCTATCATCTCCATTTTGGTTTTGAGTTTATCTGTATCTCAAATGTTAATATTTGATGTTCCTATATCATCCTTCATGTTATCGTTCTTAGATAAAGACTCATTTTCTTATTTGTATTCTAATCATGTATAAATTCAAACCACCCATTAAAAAAATACCAAAAAACACCTTTAATATTATTATAATCTTAGTAATAATAAAATAATCTATTTTTTATTATGATATTCTTTTTGTTATTATATT